AAGAAAATATTTAATAATAGAAAAAAAAAATGAAATTTCAAAGCCATGCACGACTAAGGTCTAGAAAAAATCCATAAAAAATGAAGCGTATAAAGCAGTCCTGGTCCTTGCACGTTCTTCACATTGTGAACAAGAGTGGTTCCACTCTGTCTTAAAATGGCACCGCCGGGAAGTAAGAAGTCAACCCGAGCTCCCTCTTCCTCCACCCCCTTAAATATAAATGTAATAGTAGACATTTGCTTTGTCCAAAAAAGGCCTCCTCCTTGCACACCAGCTTATCATACAATAGTAATATAATTCCTTATTTTTTTTAATATATTTTTTATATAAGTATAAAATAAATAATACTGATTTTTTAAGATTAATTTAAACATATTTTAAAATTAATTAATTAATTTTTTTGATTTGATTAGAAGTAAATAATCGATATTAAAATTAAAAAATTTATAAAAAATTATTTCATTTTTAAAACTTTAATTAATAAAGTGGTGAGTAAGCTTCGTGCTAATTAACTTATAATTATTTAAAAACTATCAATAAGAATTTAGTTGAATTAGTATTTATTAACTTAAAAATCTTAGTTTAGAGTTAAAATTAGATATTCCAATCTCTATATTGTCAAGTAATTAACTTTTCAATGTAAGAAAAAAAAAACCCTACTCTTCAATATTAGAGATGCTTTTTTAAAGTAATGATAATATCACCTAATTTTCCTTTCTATTTTACTTACTGACTACCAAACCTATTCTCAGTAACTAAAAGAAATTTAGGAAAATAAAAAAAGAAGTTAGGAGTATTTAAATATTTTTATATCTTAATATTATAATAAATAAGTGATAAAGTTAAATTTTTTATTTTTTATTTTTTTATACTATTACGTTAATTGCAAGATAATTCTTGATTAACTACCCATCTATATAATATGGGCATTTTTTTTTACACTATTTGCATTAAGTAATATTTTCTTTACCCATTTTTTAAGGAATGATTTTTCTTAATTTTTTTTTTCTTTTTTGATTAGAAATATTTAAAAGGTAGTAATTTTAATTAATAAAAAAATATCGTATCTTTAAATAAAATTTTTTTAAAAAGTTGTATTCTTATTTATACTAAATCCCTCTCATCATTAGTTAATCTCAACTCTTGGAATAATGTCTGTGAGGAGACTAGATGGATATGAGTTCGAAGAAAAACCAATATATATCAAAGATACGAAGTTTATGAATTTTTTTGATATGATAGATATGCTAGGAAATTGCACCTTATAAATGCACCCAACAATTATCCCCATTCATTTTTGGGTTATTATCAACTCCTTGTGAGAGTAACATGACCATATTCTAACTGCTGAGCACAATTTTCTGTTAGGACCTTTAGGTATACCTTAGCATACTCAACTAGAGTATATTATATTACAAGCTCAATCCCATGAAAATACAATATTAAAAGCTCCTGTATGGCTATGAATGTTTGCTTTACTAGACAGACCCTTAATAAGATTTAGTTATCTCACTTTTTATTTTAATAAAAAATAAAAGAATTTTTTAATAGTACCCATAATGATGCATTTATTGTACTTGTTCACCATTAATTTTGCATAAAAAAGTAAAAGTTAATTTTTATTTTATTAACCATCTAAATAAATTATTTTATATAGTATTGGTGTTAAAAATCAAATTTACTTTCATAATTTTTCATATAAATTAATGTAAAAAGATATAATAAATGCATCATAAGGGTATAAGTTAGAAAAATCCAACATTGAATCCTAATATTTGAATTTTACAATTATCTTAGAAGAGACAAAAATTCCTTTGTATTTTTTGGTATAATTATAAGTAAAGGTGAAAATGAAAAGATAATGTCATAATTATTGTAATAAATGAATTTATTAGTAATTATAAATGGATGAAATAGAACAATTCAATCAAACAAGAGGAGTGCTAAAATTCATAATTATTACTTGGGAATTCTTTGATTTAAATAGAGGATTCAATTAACAAAGGAGGTTCATGAGTGTGAAATCTTAATAGAGTGATTTAAAAAAAAAAAAGAATTTAATACTTTATTTTAAAAATTTGACAAATAAATTGAGACAACTTATTTAAAAAAAGTGCAAGTACGAACAAATAAATTGCAACAAATAAAGTAATAATTCAATTTACTGTCTGCTGTCTTTATACTTTATAATGTTTTCCACAAGTGGAACCGTCCAAGAATTCATCATCGCCTTTTATTGGTTAGGAAGGTGGGGTGCTTTATTTGCAAAGTATTAAAATTTAAGCAAGTGAATAAAAAAAAAAAAAGTTTAAAAACTTCAAATTTATTTATTTCTTTTCTTAGGACAGATTCTCGGAGCATTAGCATAAAATTAAAAACGATGAAATATAGGTCGGGATGTCCCACTTGTTTCGTCCTTTTTAACTCATTTACGTGTATAAATATCTGTCATTGCAAGAGCATGAATTGTATCCCCAGGGCATTCTAAATCATTGGTATTATGGCGTCACCCTTGTTCTTCCTCCTGCTACTTCATTCTTTCCTTGTTTCTACTTCTGCTTCTTCCACCACTTCTTTACTTAATCAAACAGAAACTCTTCTCAAATGGAAAGCCAGTCTTGACAACCAAAGCCAAAGCTTCCTCTCTTCTTGGGTTGGGGACAACCCCTGCAATTGGGTTGGAATTGCTTGTGACGGAGTTGCAAGCGTCACCAACATAAGCCTTTCAAATTGTAGTCTCAAAGGTACACTTGACAACGTTAACTTCTTGGCCTTCCCCAACCTAATTCACTTTGATGTTCGTCATAATTCACTTTATGGGGCCATTCCTTCTGACATCGTTAACTTGTCCAAACTCACTTTTTTCGATTTGTCTACTAATAATCATTTTTATGGAAATATTCCTAAGGATATAGGAAGGTTGAGTTCGCTTGCCGTACTCGCCCTTGATTGGAACCAACTTAATGGTTCACTTCCTGTTTCTGTAGGAAATTTAAGCAATTTGTCTTGCCTTGGAATCGCTGGAAATAACCTCAGCGGTTCCTTGCCTCAAGAAGTTGGAATGATGAGATCACTTCTTGTGCTTGATTTAGCCTTGAATTCCTTTACTGGTCCAATCCCTGCATCAATAGGAAATTTAAGCAATTGTCAAGAGCTTTATCTTTCTAGAAATGAGCTATCTGGTTCTCTTCCAACAGATATAGGAAGGATGAGTTCACTTAATCAACTTCACCTTCAAGGCAATATGCTCAATGGTTCTATACCTCAAGAAGTTGGGATGATAATATATCTTATTTTGCTTGATCTTTCCAGTAACTCCCTAACTGGTATGATCCCGAAGGCAATGGGAAATTTTAGCCATTTAAGACATCTTTACTTTTATGCAAATGAGCTCTCTGGTTCTATTCCTCGTGAAATAGGAATGATTCAATCACTTTTCGACTTGCAGTTGTTAGGAAATAATCTCACAAGCGTTATACCGACTTCCATAGGAAACCTAACCAGTTTACTCTCTCTTCTTCTCTTTGATAACATGCTTTCTGTGTTAGGAAAAAATTGGCGCGCGGAATAAATAATTCCTATGAATAAAACATGTGAACAATAACAAAGAACGGTGAAACAGGCGGCTTAGCCGACCAATATAACGGTTAGTGAAAAAAAGGCGGCTTAGCCGACCAAGCAAAATAAAATGGGCGGTTCAACCTGCCACTTAAGAAATATAAATAAAATGGGCGGTTCAACCAGCCACTTAAGCAGGAAAATAAACAAGCAAAATAACACCAAATTTTACGTGGAAAAACCCCCAAAAAACTATTGAGGGAAAAAAACCACGGGACAACCTCCAAAAAGTATTTCACTATATGATAAAATTGTACAGAGTATACACATAAGTATTTTTCTCTCTCTTGGTGTTTCCCACTCCCCCAGGATATGATCACAATCCTGATAAACTCACAATTTTATCACTGAATGTACTCTCTCTATGGAGCACTCTTACACCTAAGCTTTTAATGCCTAGCTCTCACCCCCTTTTTTCTTTTCTTTTCCCGGAGCCCTCTTTTTTTGCTCACTTTGGTGTTGCACTCTTTGCTTCTTGCTTGCTTTTTTGCCTTGCCATTGCATGGGTATTTATAGGGTAAAAAACCCAACTACCCCGGTGCAAATTTTCTACCTCATTAAATGAGGTTCATGTACAATGGTTGGAATAACCATTGTAAATTTCCACAATGGCTGCTGTAGCTTACAGCCTCTTGCAATAGGCTGTGGAAAATGGGCTGGAACTAGAAGCTTCTGCCAACATTCTGGTCCAATCCCAGCTTCCATAGGATACTTGACAGCACTTACTCGTTTACATCTTAGAGGTAACTCTTTGTCTGGTCCTATTCCAGTAGGGATGAATAACCTCACTGTTTTGAAACTTTTACAATTAAGTGATAATCAACTCACTGGCCATGTACCTGACAATATATGCCTTGAGGGCTCACTCAAACATTTGGCTGTCAGCGGAAACCATTTAACTGGTCCCATTCCAACAAGTTTGAGAAATTGCACTAGCTTATACAGGGCAACGCTTGGCGAGAATCAACTTGAAGGAAGTATATCAAAAGCTTTTGGTATATATCCTATCTTGGATTTTATTGATTTGAGTGATAACAAGTTGTACGGTGAACTTTCTCCAAATTGGGGTCTATGTCAAAACCTCTCAAGCTTGAAGATCTCCAACAATAAGGTGTCTGGTAGGATACCTCCTGAGCTAGCTCAAGCCACTCAATTGAAGCAGCTTGACCTCTCTTCAAATCAGCTGAGTGGAGAGATTCCTAAGGAAATAGGCAAGCTAACAACCCTGGTTTATCTCTTGCTAAATGACAAACAACTCTTTGGCAGAATCCCACCAGAGATAGCAAGCCTAGTTAATCTGCAACAACTTAGCTCGGCAAAGAACAATCTGATTGGACCAATTCCAGAACAACTTGGGAATTGCTTTAGGTTATTACAATTGAACCTAAGCAACAATCTAATTGGAGAAAGTATTCCACCTGAAATAAGCAAAATATTTGCCCTTGAAACTCTTGATTTGAGTTGGAATATATTAACAGGAGAGATTCCTCAAGAGCTTGGAAGATCACGTGTGTTGGAAACGCTAAATCTTTCTCATAATATGCTCTCCGGTTTCATTCCTCCTACTTTTGATGAATTGAAGAGCTTAACATATGTTAACATCTTTTATAATCAGTTAGAGGGCCCTATCCCACCTACTAAAGGTTTCATTCTTGCCCCATTTGATGCTCTTAGAAACAATAAAGGCCTCTGCGGCAATGTCACTGGCCTCCCACATTGTGTATCCAAAAGCCAGAAGAAAAGCAGCTACAGACTTGTAATTTTAATCATTACACCAGTTTTGGGCATTCTATCTCTGTTATTTATCTTGGTGGGGTGTTTACTTCTTGTTCGTCATAAAAATTCTGAGATAAAAGAGAGCTAATTTCAAGATATATTTGCCATATGGGGATATGATGGGGAAATCCTCTATGAAAACATTCTTGAAGCTACAGAGCAATTCAACTCCAACTATTTCATTGGCTCAGGAGGATATGGAAATGTTTACAAAGCTCTGCTGCCAACTGGTCGAGTTGTTGTGGTTAAGAAACTTAACCCATCAGATGACAATCAATCCATCAATTTGTGGGCATTTGAAAGCGAGATTCGTGCTTTAGCGGACATACGACATCGTAATATTGTCAAGTTGTATGGTTTTTGTTCTAATGCAGAGTATTCATTCCTGATCTATGAGTTTGTAGAAAGGGGGAGCTTGAGGATGGTTTTGAGCAACCCAAAAGAAACGGCAGAGTTGGATTGGGATAAGAGATTGAACATTGTTAAAGGGTTAGTGAGTGCTTTATCTTACATGCACCATGATTGCCCTTCACCAATAATCCATCGTGACATTTCTAGCAACAATGTTTTGTTAGATTTGGATTATGAAGCTCATGTCTGAGACTTTCGCACAGCTAGGATTTTGAAGCCGGATTCCTCTAACTGGACATCCTTTGCAGTCACATTTGGCTACACAGCTCCTGGTATTTCATTCATTTGATATCTTCTAATAAATCGTAGTAATTATTATATTGTTTTATAACTAACTAGACTTGCTTCTGCAGAGCTTGCTTACACGATGAAAGTAAGTGAAAAATGTGATGTCTATAGTTTTGGGGTGGTAACAATGGAGATAATTATGGGAAGGCATCCAGGTGATCTTATTTCAGATTTATGGACACCAAATGGCCAGCAGATGTTGCTGAAGGATGTCATAGACCAATGCCTTAAACCTCAAAGGAGGAATAAGGTGGCTGAGCAAGTGGTTGCTACCACAAAGCTAGCATTTACATGTTTGCATTCCAATCCTCAATTTTGCCCCACTATGCAGCAGGTTTATCAGGCTCTTACAAGTGGTCGACCATCTCCATTGCCAAATCCATATTCAATGATAAGTTTGGGAGATTTGATTGGAGATGGACATGGGATGCAGGGCTGAGTTGCTTGGATATTTATCATAGTTCTAGGTATGTGTCATTTGTATTTATCTTTTCTAGTTTACCTTCTCTCTCAACAAAAACAATTTTTATCCTTTGTGTTCTATTCTTTGTGATAAACTTTTGAGTATATTTGCTTTGGCTTTTATTGATGCTATTTTGTTGGCATAATGGAATATTATATAACAATATGATAGGCTGCAAGGTCCAATAAAGAACTTGAAGAAATATGGATGTATTATCCGGTTCTCTGTTTATGTTCAACCTGAAGATGAATGGGACCATTTTTTTTTTATAAATTAGGAATGTAGTTGAGTTGCATGTTGTGTGGACTATTGCTATCATTCATTCGTTGTAACTTCTTAGGTGTTTCTTTTTAAAATCAATAATTTGTTGGTGATTGTGCGTTGTTACTGTCAACATTAGACGGTTTATGTATTCATTTACCATAAGTTATATCAGTTGATGTAAATTTATTTTCACTAAATTTTATGGCTTCAGTGTTGGAGTTTATTACTAATACAACTCTCCCTTGTTTTGAAATTCTCTTAACATGTCTTTCTTTTGTCAAATTTCTCACAATCCGAGTTAACATTTGAATTTAAAATTTTTAATTTAAAATTTCATCTTCTTAACTAATTAAATCACATTCTTTTAAGGTATATAATGAAGTGTTGAGCTCTTATAGTCAAGTAAAAATGGCAATGCCACAATAAATATTATGTTAAATTGTATATTATATAATATAATGTGATATTAAATAAATTAATATATATAATCCATTATATATTTAAAATATGTAACATTTCCCCTTCCTAAATAACCATGAAAGGCTACACCACTGAAACAGTCCAAGAATGAATTTTTTTACAGTCTTTTAGGCTTTCTAAAATGCGTTAAAACACTAATAAAGAATACCTTTATTAAGAGGATAACTATAAAAAAAATTATGTACTGTCACATAAACAAATATTGCACAATTTAACATCAAACTCTTCTGACTCTTCTGACTTATTTATCCAATGTAGCTTACATTCGCCGGCACCTTCATACTAAAGTAAGCATGTGCAATTTTCCTTAAATGATCCATTACAATTAAACTCCACGATTAAATTCAAAAACAGACAATCGTTGATCACCACTCGCCATTTCAACATCACATCCTTATCGATGTCATGGAGTTTCAAATTATGCATTTCTTCAATCGCTACGAAGAAAAAAGTGCATGCAACCAAAACTGCATACTGCAAAAGGTAGTGTTTGCCAAGGTTGTAATTCTCATACCGTAACACTTGGTAAAATCCATATGTATTGATTTTGACACAAAATCGATACATAAATCTTCTAATATTGTATCGCTTTAAATCTTGGCCATGCCGGTTGAAAATGGTTGTATTGGCTGGAATATTGTGTTGTACCTATGATTTTGATGATTACAAAACACATTTGAGTGACTAATTGGTTTATTTAAGTGTGTAGTTAAGTTGCTAAAAGATTGCAAGTAAACTTGGATGGCACTAAAAATAGACCAAAAGGATTCAATGTGCAGAGAGCCGGCTCTAGAAGCTGCAGCCGGCTCTACAGGCAAAAATTTGAAGACCGTTGCTTGCCGCCCGCGGAGAAAAGACGCAAAGCCGGCTCCAACTTTATAGCCGGCTGTGAGGGTGCATTTAATGCACAACGGTCGACTCATTTGAATATTTTTTAATGGATTTAAAGTCGGAGTTTCAAAACCGGCTCAAAGTCTTGCAACCGGCTCTCGAGGAAAACAGAATGTGCAGGAAACCCGCAGAGTCGGCTGCAGAAATGGTGAGCTGGCTGATAAGAGCCGGTTCTAGGAAGTTAAGCCGGCTCTCCTGACAGTTCTGCAACTCGAGCCATGCGTCTTGCAGAGCATTTAATGACCCCTAACGGCTAGTAACGGCTAGTAACAGCTATTTTCGAGCAAGGGGCTATAAATATGGTTGGTAACATATGTGAAGGGGTTTAGAGAGTATTGTATTGAATATCTTTACTACCAACTTGTGCTTTAACTTGAGATTTTGATCTTTGAGAGATCTTTGTTTGTAATCCTCTTCTTGTGCT